TCAATACTCTTTGGTTATTTTGGTAAAGTCGCGTGGGTAGACAAATACAAATAGATCACGACGTTTCGATCGCAACACAAGCAACCGTCTTGACGTGATAGAGAAAGCCGGCTTTACCAAAATAACCAAATAGTAGCAATAATTTAGATCTTAAGTTTTCGTGACTGCAATGTTCCATACTATTTGGTTTCTTTCGGTAAAGTCACATAGGTATAAAATAAAAGAAAAGGAAAGAAACTTTAAAATATAAAAAATACAATTTAATTTTTTGATTATTTAAAAAAAAAATTATAAAAAACTTTTTTTTATTTTCTTTTATACCTACGTGACTTTACCCAAAAAACCAAAGAGTAAGTAGCAACAATAATAATAATAATAATCGCCGTCGTCCTTTCAGCTGCCATGTGCGTTGTGCTGAAGCAACGGTGGCCTCGCCTTACGTGTGCGTGGAGTGCGGTGAGCGGTGGTGCAGCGGCGGCGGTTAGCGCTGCTACTGCTGCTGCTACTACTGCTGCTGCTACTACTACTGTTGCTGCTGCTACTGCTGCTGCTACTACTGTTGCTACTACTGCTGCTGCTGCTACTGCTGCTGCTGCTACTGCTGCTGCTGCTACTGCTGCTGCTACTACTGCTGCTGCTGCTACTGCTGCTACTACTGCTGCTGCTGCTACTACTACTGCTGCTGCTACTACTGCTGCTGCTGCTACTACTACTGCTGCTGCTACTGCTGCTGCTACTGCTGCTGCTGCTCCTACTGCTGCTGCTGCTACTACTGCTGCTGCTACTGCTGCTGCTACTACTGCTGCTACTGCTGCTGCTACTGCTGCTGCTGCTACTGCTGCTGCTGCTGCTACTACTGCTGCTGCTACTGCTGCTGCTGCTACTACTGCTGCTACTGCTGCTGCTACTGCTGCTGCTGCTACTGCTGCTGCTACTGCTGCTGCTGCTACTGCTGCTGCTGCTACTGCTGCTGCTGCTACTGCTGCTGCTGCTACTGCTGCTGCTACTGCTGCTGCTACTGCTGCTGCTGCTACTACTGCTGCTGCTACTACTGCTGCTGCTACTGCTGCTACTGCTGCTACTACTGCTGCTGCTGCTACTGCTGCTGCTACTGCTGCTGCTACTACTACTGCTGCTACTACTGCTGCTGCTGCTAGTACTGCTGCTGCTACTGCTACTCCTGCTGCTGCTACTGCTGCTGCTACTGCTGCTGCTGCTCCTACTGCTGCTGCTACTACTGCTGCTGCTACTGCTGCTGCTACTGCTGCTGCTGCTACTGCTGCTACTGCTAGTCCTGCTGCTGCTGCTACTGCTGCTGCTGCTACTGCTGCTGCTACTGCTGCTGCTGCTACTACTGCTGCTGCTACTACTGCTACTGCTGCTACTGCTGCTGCTGCTACTGCTGCTGCTACTGCTGCTGCTGCTACTGCTGCTGCTGCTACTGCTGCTACTACTGCTACTACTACTGCTGCTACTGCTGCTGCTACTACTGCTGCTACTGCTACTGCTGCTACTACTGCTACTACTGCTGCTGCTACTGCTGCTGCTGCTACTACTGCTGCTGCTGCTACTACTGCTACTACTGCTTCTGCTGCTACTACTGCTACTACTGCTACTGCTGCTGCTACTGCTGCTGCTACTGCTGCGTTGTGGCAGCGATGTTGGGGGGGGGGCTTGGGGTTTGTGTAGCGAGTGCGCTTCCCGCGTTCGTGTGCGGGCGTTGAATTTCTTTCGCGCCGTACGTAGTCAACCGGGCTTAATCGGAAACGCGAGAGGTGGGTGGGGGGGGGAGGAAATGACACACGTACGTACCCTTTCAGAATAGGTCAAATCTATTCTGATTTTTCACACTTTGATAGTGGAGAAAAAAATGTCCCGTGATCCGTGGTCGCATGTACCTTGAACTTCTTTCGCGCCGTACGTGTCCAACCGTGATCAGTGGGAGCTGTGGGGTGGGGGGTGACAGCAAAGCAACGTGAAGAGTGAGACGACCACGTGATGAAGGAGACTCGCTGCACGACACGTGCAGCGTCGAGCTTTCGCGGCCAATTAATGACGATTACTCTTTGGTTTTTTCGATAAAGTCACGTAGGTAAAAAATAAAATAATAAATTACTAAAAGTAATAATAGAAATAAAATAATAATAAAAATACAATAATAGTGATTTATTGTTTTATTTTATTATATTACTTTATTTCTATTATTACTTTTTACCTACGTTACTTTACCCGAAAAAACCGTTGAACTTCTCTCGCACCGTACGTAGCCAAACCGCGCTCGTCGGCGAAGGGCAGCAAGCGAAACACAACAATTATCAACAAATCAGTTCTAAACCGAGGAATGTCGGAGGGAAGAGCGTTCCAGACGGCCCCAGAAGCGCGTCTGTGAATGCGCGCGATGATGATGCGGTGACCACCGCCACGTTTGTTCGATGGCTCCGGCTTCAATTCGTTTTGCAAGACGGATAAGTAGGAGACGGTTCGGCAGATGCGTAGACGTGTGATACGTGTACAGTTACAGAGCTATCGATGTGCCACGAGGTAGGGTCATTGCCGAAAGCGTTACGTATTGCATACTTTTGCTTGGTACGGCCACAGTATGAAGGACGGGTGTGCTTCTTCTTGGTTGTTTCGGTAAAGTCACGTAGAAGGGAAATAATAAAATAATAAAAATAAAACATAATAAAATAATTCTCACCTGAGGACGGCTGCTTGCGTTGTGGCCGAAACGTCGTGAGAATTATTTTATTATGTTTTATTTTCATTATTTTATTATTTCCCTTCTACGTGACTATACCGAAAGAACCAATAAGATGAATCCCTGCAGTCACGAAAGCTTTCAATCCAGACGGGTGTGCTGTAGGGGATTTCTCTATCCCATAAGTGAATCGATTCCTCGATCGGCATAGGGCCGATTGCACGTAGATGTACGCACAGATTAACGAGTTAGCGCTCACTGCCGTGCAATATATAAGCGGCACTTGGATAAATCAAGACAAACGTGAGCATGCAAAGGTGCACATGCACGCGGCGGCTTGGGGAATCGTTCATCCAGCAGTGGATTGAGCATGACCGCTGACGATGATGCTCCCAGGTGGACTATATAAACAGACACATACTGCGTGGAGATACGCACAGATGTGTGGGTGCGTGTTAAAGTACAGTCGGTAGGTGGGATTATTTCAGACCGGGAGCCAGAGCAGAGCCTCACCCATTCTGGGGAATTGCCCGATGATGCTGGATGCAATTACCAGCGAAACGTCGTGCTACTCAAAAAATTGTAAATGTTGTGGATTCACTCTTCAACACACCGGTGGGCTAAAGCAGTGAACTATTTTGTCTTTTGTCAACGTGACACTTTTTTTTTTGCTGATTGGCCGTGTCGGGTGGTGGAGGGTTACGACACATTTATAAAAAAAACGCGATCTAACCCAAAAACGTTTATTATGAGGTGGGATTATGTAACTATATGGGAGCAGGGTGTTTTGATGGTCGAAATGCTTCTCATTTACAGACGGACTGCTGGTGTAGCGAAGGCTCATGATGACCGTGTCGGTACAGAACGATTCTGTTGACTCAGCCCATCATCATCATCCGTCCATGGTCGATAAAAACAAGTATAACGTTGTCGAGGGGGGTGGGTGGGCTGGGAGAATTCAATAGCGATTGCCCTATAGATAGATCGACTGTCCCCGGCCATAGAAATGTGGAATTTCCACCGCTGACTCAGGGCTGTACGCAAGGAGTATTTTTGTTGTATTAAATCTGAAAAAAAGAACACGTATATATAAAACCTTTAGAAGGCCGCGCGGGGCTGATGGGATGTGTACAAAAAAAAGTTTTATTTCATGGGTGGACAGACGGATGCGCATTTGCGTGCTGTTATACACATGCACGTTAGGCGCATCCAGTGAGATGTGAATGACACGCGATTACTTTGAGGCCTTTGTCAATCCGCCGCTTCGTAAAGGCTTCCCCACCACGTGTGTTGCTTGTGACCATACTTCTCCGCTGCTGCTGCTGGTGGAGGGCGACGAACGCGACACGTCGTCGCCATTGACGTTAGCCGCGGCCCTAAACGTCAAACTCACGCCCGCCTGGATCGATGGCGCGGGGGGCGCTAACCACTGCGCCACCGCTCCCCCCCACGTTAGAATATGCCGTGAGACAAATACTCCATCCCCGCACGTGCGTAACGCGTGCGTTGTTGCCCGCTTGTTTATTTGTTAAACTCCGAGTGTGTGTGTGTAAGTGTGTGTGTAAGTGTTTGTGTGTACGTGGGGAGCGGTAGTGTAGCGGTTAGCGCACTGCACTATGAACCCGGCGACCCGAGTTCGATTCCCTCTCACGGCCAACACCCGGTGACGATTATCTGAACCGGTCCTGGGGCCTCCCCTAGGTCGACTCAGCCTGAAATAAGTACCTGGTGCGGTGTGTAAACATCGCCACCGGGGAGACAACGGCGTGTCGGGCGTGGTGCTGGCCACCCATCCCCTCTTGTACCGTTCCGGCCTTCATAGGTGCTCGCTAACAGCACTTGCCCCGACAATCTGTTAAGGCTATACCGGGCAGCAGGATTTCGCGACCGATATTATCGCTGCTAAAGGCGGGTGGGTTTTTTTGGGGGTTGGGTTCGATCGCCCTAAAGTAGAAACGCGTCGTGACACCCGCACACCACCCGACACGGCAGAGCGCCGATTTGAGTCAACAGCAGCTCAGCACACAGCGCGCACGTGTGCTGAGCTGCTGGTGACACAGATTCGAGGGCGATTACTACGACGACGAAGACGACGACGACTAAGACGACGAGGACGTGTCTGTCATCGGCCTCGATACAGCCGGACCCCCGTGAAGAATTCCCCCACCCATACCCCGCTCTCGCCACCACTAATACCGATCTGAAATTCCTCCCCGCGTATCGTCCGCCGTGACATTCCCCCCCTTACCACCCCTGACGCCTCCTCGTGTCTCCTCCTCCTCCTCGTGGTGGTGTGTTGCAGGGCGCCCAGTACGAGCAGCTCAAGGAGTGCCCCGCGATGTCGCACCAAGCGTTCGCGCCGCACCCGGCCCTGCACCCCCTGTCGCCGCACTACTACGCCCCGTACGGGCCTCAGGGCACCTCGGCGGCAGGCGACTCGGGCGGGCGACTCGGCAGCAAGGCGGCCACGCGCGAGAGCACGAGCACCCTCAAGGCGTGGCTCAACGAGCACCGCAAGAACCCGTACCCCACCAAGGGCGAGAAGATCATGCTGGCGCTCGTCACCAAGATGACGCTCACGCAAGTGTCCACGTGGTTCGCCAACGCGCGTCGGAGGCTCAAGAAGGAGAGTAGAGGTGGTGGTGGCGGTGGTGGTGGTGGCGGTGGTGGCGGTGGTGCGGGTGGGTCGGCTCCGGGCGAGGTTGGGTGTTGGGGCACGCCGGGTGGAGGTCTTGGCGGTGGTGGAGTTGGTGGTGGAGTTGGAGATTCGTTGCACATCCGGGGTGACGCCAGAACGGACTCGGACGAAGACATCGACCTGCAGAGCGTGGAGGTCGAGAGACGCTGCCGAGCGCTCGGTCCCGCGGCGTCTCCCAGCGGCAGCGCCGAGGTCGACGTCATCGACGAGGAGGAGGAGGACGAGGAGGATGGCGGTGGTGACTGTGCCCATGACGATCATGGCGATGGCCTCGATGAGGTGGACGATGCTCGCGATGGCGAGGTGGTGAGACAGGAGGAGGAGGAGAAGGACCACCTTGAGAACAAGAGAAGGGCCGTGGAGGCAGCTGCTGCTGCTGCTGATGATGATGATGATGATGGACGTGGTGGCGGTGGTGGTGTAGTAGCGGATCTCAGCATCCAGCGGGGCCAGCGTGACATCCACGAGGCCACAGCGCTGCCCTTGCCCTTGCCCCTGCCCTTGACTCTGCCCTCGGCAGCCGCCCCCAACTCCTCAGCCACCGTCACAGCAGCCGCGACGCAGAACTCAACTCCCAAACCCAAGATCTGGTCACTGGCCGAGACTGCCACGAAACCAGACAACCACCCAAGGATGCAACAACAACAACAGCAGCAGCAGCAGCAGCAGCAGCAGCATCATCATCACCACCATCACCAGCATCACCATCAGCAACATCAACATAGCCACCACCATCATCATCATCAGCAGCAGCAGCATCCAGAACATTCGCTGGCGCTGAGATTGCGTGCCCGCCTGCAGATGGATCAGCAGATGCACGCTCTCTCGTCGTGCCACACAGGAGCGTGCGCATCGGGGTGCGTGAAATGATGCGCCCCACTGCGATTCACACAACCGGGGGGGGCGGTGGGGGGGGAGCGGTGGCGCGGCGGTTAGCGCGCCGCGCTCACGGAACCGATCGCAGGCGGCGGCGGCGGCGACGAATCGAACTCGGTCCGGCCCAGTCGAATCGCGCATGAGATGAGTAATATCGGCATTGGGGAGACAAAGGCGGCCGGGCGTGGTGCTGGCCACCTACCCCCCCCCTCCCTCCCCCTCGTGTGTCGTGCCGCCCTTCGTAGGTGCTCGCTAACAGCACTTGTCCCAACAGCCTGTGGAAGGCTATACGGGGGATCTTTGTCTTTGTTACATTATTATTATTATTACTCTGATGGTACCGTGTGTTCCGGATTATAAGACGCAGCTTTTTTCCCTGCATCGTTAAGCAAACGTTGGGGGTGCGGAAGACCCCGTGGTCTGTACCCTCTCTCTTCTCTATATTTTTTATGTTGCTCTGAAGAAGGGCCATTGCCCGAAACGTCGCCAAATATGTTTTTAGTCTCAAGACCAACGTGTTGCGTTCGTGTTGTTTGTTGTTTGTCGCACGGTGCGCGCGCGCGTGGCCAGATCTGTGCTACATTACTGGCACCACGGCAACACCCTCAGGGTGCCTCTGATAGTCCAGAGAACACGGTACATCACTACTGTCTCTCACCCCCCAACACCACCATCCCCCACTATCCCCCCCCACAACCCCCCCCCCCACCACCCCCCCCCCCCCACCATCCCCCTCCATCATCCTCTCCAACATCCCCCCCCACCCCCCCGCCCACCCATCCCCCCCACCCATCCCTCCTCCCACCATCCCACCACACATCCCCCCCACCATCCCCCCCCACAATCCCCCCCACCCACCCCCCCACTACACCCCCACCCATCCCCCCCATCCCCCCAAACCAGCCCCCCCCCACCGTCCCCCCCACGGCATCCCCCACCCATCCCTCCCCCCACCATCCCCCCCACCCACCCCCCACTACACCCCCCCCCACCACCCCCCGAACCGTGCCGCGTTGTCGCTATCGCCGTCACGTGACGGAGTCAGAGGAACCAATGGGAGCGCGACGCTTCCCGTGCAGCGGAGAGCGGCCCGCGGAAGTAGATGTCGTAGAACTGCGATCTGAGTGCCCCACTGCCTCGTCCGCGTAACTGTTACACGCCTCGTAGAAGCAGCACCACCAACAACAACAACACTCTTGGCATCATCGTCATCGCCATCATCACCAGTAGCATCATCATCATCATCATCGCCGGCTTCCAAAAATCTGGGTCAAAGGAGTGCACCACCTTGAGAGGGTTATTCCGCGAATCGCTCTGACTGTGACTGATTGGAGGTTAATGTTTCGATGAATAAACATTGTGAAGAGCACGACGCTGTTACTTTTGGCTGAAAATTCGTAACGACGTGGCGGGAGTGGTGGCTCAGTGGTTAGCACGCCGCGTCATGGACCCTGCCAACCTGGGTTCAATTCTTGTCCGCGACTGGCAGGTAATACCCAACCCGGACGGACCGGCGTAGTGAAGTATGATCAAATGTGTAATGCGGGCCTTCATATCCAGCAGTGAAGTGACGAAACGAAGGACCACGTGATCGCCTAGCGGGCAGCGCGTTTGCCACTTGTTACGGAGGTTCGTATCTGACAGTCCACCCCGGTAAATGCCGCGGGGTCTAATAACAACAACAACCAAAATAACCCCAACAAAATTCGACTGCGCGTCCGTCTATGGACGTTAAATCCGTCAAATCGAAACGAGTTTGACCATCACGTAATCGTTGTGAATCGCAAAATTACAGTCACAAAGGCAAAACCAAAGATCCCCTGTATAGCCTTCACAGACTGTTGAGGAAAGTGCTGTTAGCGAGCACCTATAAAGGCCGGAACGGCACACGAGGGGGTGGGTGTCCAACACCACGCCCGACCGCCTTTGTATTTCCCAGTGGCGATGTCTACTACACACCGCACCAGGTACTCATTTGAGGCTGAGTCGACCTAGGGGAGGCCCAGGACCGGTTCAGTTAATCGTCACTGCTGGTGTCGGTGGCCGTGAGCGGAAATCGAACTCGGGTCGCCGGGTTCGTAGCGCGGCGCTCCCCACACACACCAAAGACAAAGATCCCCCGTGTAGCCGTATACGTCAAACCACACCGCAGCCCGCGTCTGCACAAACAACGGCAGCAGCAGCAGCATCGTGATGGTCGTCGTGAGCTCCACCTACAAGAGCCCACGGCCCCACGGCTCTCGGCCCACGATTGCGTCAATCAGTTGGAGGACTGGGAGTAGAAATCGCTCCCCAGGCATTTTGTAAACACGCACCGGGTCCCAAAATCATGGGTCATCCTTGGTTTTTTTTTTGGGCGGGTGGGATGCGCTGGGTCCAAAATAACAAAGGGGGCCAGGTGAGCAATGAATCTTTGGGGCTGCTGAATATGTGGGGACTTAGATTGCCAACTGAGAGCGTAAATAAGCAACGAGGCGTACACAGAACTAATCAAATATATATTTTAATAATCAACGTTTTTGGGTTAGATCGCGTTATTTATAAATGTGTCGTAACCCTCCACCACCCGACACGGCCAATCAGCAAAAAAGTGTCACGTTGACAAAAGACAAAATAGTTCACTGCTTTAGCCCACCGGTGTGTTGAAGCGTGAAACCACAACATTTACACATTTTTGAGTAGCACGACGTTTCGCTGGTAATTGCATCCAGCATCATCGGGCAATTCACCAGAATGATGAGGCTCTGCTCTGTCTCCCGTTCTTATATAGAGCAGCAGCAGCAGGGTGACGTCATCATTATAAAAAAAAATTATAAAAAAATGTTTTACTCTGATCACTTTTTTGCAATTTCCCCACGCAGACCGGAATGGATCCGACCCCACGCACTGCTGCTCCCCTATGGGCCCAGTCCCCGGGGGGGGGTAGGGGGGCCTGGCGCCCCCTAAAAGAGCGTGCCCGTTGCGAATTGTAATTCCTAGTTACAGAGAGACGAGAGCGCGCTTCGTGACCTGCAAAAACGCGATCCCAAGTAGCCGTCATGGGCCCGTGAGCCACAGGAGTTCAACGTCGCGTAAACGTCGGACCGAGTCCGCCGATATCAAGTGGAGTTTTAGTTTGGCGGGGTGAGAATTCACGAGGCCGCGAGAAGTCTGCGTGGGTGACCTGGGGGGCATCAGTCAGCCGGTCGGGGCTACGACGATTCCAGCTGTGTGCGTGTGATACCAACTGGGATCACGGTGGCTAGGAGATGTTAACTCCCTCGCCTGGTATGCAGGAGGTCGTGGGTTCGATCCAGAGGTGTGGACTCGAGTCATGTGACTTGGACTCGAGTCAGACTCGAGTCATGAATTTGATGACTTCAGACTCGACTTGGACTTGCATAACAATGACTTTGTCCCACCTCTGAGGTGTGGACTCGAGTCATGTGACTTGGACTCGAGTCAGACTCGAGTCATGAATTTGATGACTTCAGACTCGACTTGGACTTGCATAACAATGACTTTGTCCCACCTCTGGTTCGATCCCTACCCTGACGATGCCTGCTGCTGCTGTATATTTGGAGTCTGCGGTGTCTGTCTCTCATCATCGTCACGGTGGCTATGAGATGTTAACTCCCTCGCCTGGTATGCAGGAGGTCGTGGGTTCGATGCCGACCCTGACGATGCCTGCTGCCATATATTTGGAGTTTGCGTGTCTCTCCCTCATCATCATCACGGTGGCTATGAGATGTTAACTCTCTCGCCTGGTATGCAGGAGGTCGTGGGATCGAGCCCTACCCTGACGCCTGCTGCTGTATATTTGGAGTTTGCGTGTCTCTCTCTCTCATCATCATCACGGTGGCTATGAGATGTTAACTCCCTCGCCTGGTATGCAGGAGGCCGTGGGTTCGATGCCGACCCTGACGATGCCTGCTGCCATATATTTGGAGTCTGTGGTGTCTCTCTTTATCTCTCTCTCTCTCATCATCATCGTCACGGTGGCTATGAGATGTTAACTCCCTCGCCTGGTATGCAGGAGGTCGTGGGTTCGATCCCTACCCTGACGCCTGCTGCTGTATATTTGGAGTTTGCGGTGTCTCTCTTTCTCTCTCTTTCTCATCATCATCGTCACGGTGGCTAGGAGATGTTAACTCCCTCGCCTGGTATGCAGGAGGCCGTGGGTTCGATGCCGACCCTGACGCCTGCTGCTGTATATTTGGAGTTTGCGGTGTCTCTCTTTCTCTTTCTCTCATCATCATCGTCACGGTGGCTAGGAGATGTTAACTCCCTCGCCTGGTATGCAGGAGGCCGTGGGTTCGATGCCGACCCTGACGATACCTGCTGCTGTATATTTGGAGTTTGCAGTGTCTCTCTCCCCCCCCCCTCTCCCGTGCTCGCGTGGATATCTCTCCGGCATCCTTCGGTTTTCCCGTGCACATTCAGAATGAGCGTCACGCCTTTCGAGTCTTTGGCTACTCGCTATAAATAATGTCCACGCGATGTTAATCATCCACTTCGTTCAGCTATCATTTGTGGCCACATCGCTTCTGAAAAATAGCTATATAGCTGAGTGGGCCTTACCTGGCTAAAATAAAAAAAATGTTGATATTTGTTTTTTTATACATATAGAGTACTTCACGGTGTCATTTAAAAAAAAAACTGGCTCTTGCGAATGTCGAACAGTCCCACTGGCGAGCGAAGCAGAGAGGCGCGTGGCGGTCCTACAACTCCGGTTCGAGACGCACCACCGCGGTATTAACCAGGGCGGCCGCTGGGAAGTTCAAACCGTGGTCCCTCTGCAATCTCATCGGCAAAGGGGCGTGGCCTCCGAGAGTGATGCCGCCGAAGCGTCCGCGTGTAAGATCCACAGATGTCACGTGTCTCGTCCCACCTTCCCCACCCCCGTGTCACGTGTGCAGGAGGGAGAGTGCAATGCATGCTGGGAGAGAGCGGACTGCACTGATTACATTCACCCTGTAAATGCAGCAACCACACCTCCACACTTGCACTCACCACCACACTCACCACACTTACTCATCTCCACACTCACCTCCACACTCACTCACCACACTCACTCACCTCCACACTCAGCACACTCACTCACCTCCACACTCACCACACTCACTCACCACCACACTCAGCACACTCACCTCCACACTTACCTCTACACTCACTCAGCACACTCACTCACCTCCACACTCACCACACTCACCTCCACACTCACCTCCACACTCACTCACCACACTCACTCACCTCCACACTCAGCACACTCACTCACCTCCACACTCACCTCCACACTCACCTCCACACTCACCTCCACACTGGCACTCACCCACACACTCACCACACTTACTCATCTCCACACTCACCACACTCACCTCCACACTCACCTCCACACTCACTCACCTCCACACTCACTTCCACACTCACCTCCACACTCACCTCACTCACTCACCTCCACACTCACTCACCTCCACACTCACCTCCACACTCACCTCCACACTCACTCACCTCCACACTCGCCTCCACACTCACTCACCTCCACACTCATCACCACACTCACTCACCACCACACTCACTCACCTGCACACTCACTCACCTCCACACCACACTCACTCACCTCCACACTCACCTCCACACTCACCACACTCACCTCCACACCACACTCACTCACCTCC